GTTTCCGCCGGCTGGTACACACTTTTGTGAGGCGCTCAGGACCCTCATGAACATTGAGAACTCTGAGGAAGATAAGAATGCTGAGGATTCAGAGGCATAGCGTGACATGTACACAGCTGTGTACAATACAAGTGTACAATGTACAATTGCACGAGTGTACAACTGAAGACTCTTTGCAGTTGTATTTTCATTAGACTTGACTCCGTGCGGCTTCTTCACTGGCCAGGCGTACCCGTCAAGCGCGCCCACGCAGCCCGTCCAGGCGTCAGCCTGGGCTATCTGCGCCGCATGTCACGTGTGCGTTGCCGGACAGGTTGTGATCCGTGGGTCAGCCAACCCGGCGACAAGGTTGGCTAAGGCGCTGCAATTTCAATGTTGTTCACCCTACTTGGATGCTTGTCAGGCCCTAGCTGCGATGCCATCGCCGGACGAGGCCTTTGCGCGGCATGTACACAGTGAGCGTTTGGTACACTACATGTCTTGTGCTTGTGCCAGGAGAGCGACAGCGAAGACTCCTTGCCCACGGAATCCGAGGACTTTTGTGCTTGCCCACGCTTGTATGCATTGCGTTGCACTGATTCGCGCAGGAGCTGAGTCCGACATCGCCCGCTGAGGAGCCGGACGTAGCGTGGGATTACTTCTAGGCGGCTCAGGGGTGAAAAGGCGTAATCACAAAGGCTGCTCCCTTAAAAATTACAAGGTCATTTGCTTTGTACACCCTGACACGCGCTTGTGCACTCTTGCATTTTTTACGGTTCGCCGTCGTCTGCGCTTGTGTGCAAGTCAAGGGAGCCAATTGCAATGACTAACGTGTGAGTGACTCAGAGACCACCATGTAGTCATGTATATAGCGGCCTTGACTTGTATACCGTGCCCTGGCCTGAAAACTCTGCATTTAACGCATAAGAGCGCGGCCACCCAGCCAAGAGAGAATGTGAGCAACTCCTAGAGGAATGAAAAGAGAAACAATGCTTTCTATAAAGGCTGGTGTGGGACTGCTGCCACCGCTTCGGGCAGCGTGCTTGCTGTCGCCGCTCAGGGTGGCCCAATTTGCAGTCTCGATCTGCTTGGAAAAAAGGCGCGGATTGGGCAATTTGCAAGTTTCTCAGAACCTCCGTGACTGAAAACAATGAAGCTGCATCAAACTGCATCCAAACTGCATCCAAACTGCATCCAAACTGCATCCAAACTACATCACCATGATGCACCTTGTACCGAAACTGCATTGGCGACACATGAAACTGCAACACGCCAATGCACTTTTGATACAGAACCTCACCGGAATGCAGTTTCAATGCAGTTTGCATCAACCCTGCATCACATTGATAAAGTTTGGATCAAAACTGCATCATCTTAATGCAGTTTGGATGTAGTTTGGATGTAGTTTGGATGTAGTTTGGATGCAGTTTCAAACAAAAGTGCATCATCATAATGCAGTTTGGATGTAGTTTGGATGTAGTTTGGATGTAGTTTGGATGCAGTTTGAGTGCAGTTTGAGCACTCGGGGCTCTAAAATTGTGAAACCAATCACTGCGGGCAGCCATTTTCTTGAAGGAGGAGCCTCTTTTTTTTCAGGAACAGCTCTTTTTTTGTAAGGGACAGCACAGTTGTGTGACCAGAACTGCTCAATTTCTTGAAGAAACATCTAAAGATTTCAAGGTTTGAGCAATGCCGAAGGTGTACTTTGGAACAGCCGCTGCAAACAACTCTTGGTGGCAACAACTCTTGGTGGTCGCAAGTGTACATGCCCCTACCCAGTGCAAACTTGTATTGTACTTGCCTGGCCACGCTTGGAGTACATGACTTGTGTTGTACTTGCCTGGCCACGCTTGGAGCGCATGACTTGTGTTGTACTTGCCTGGCCATGCTTGGAGTATACATGACCGCGTGGGACACAAGTGGTGGAAAGGCCGAGCAAGCTCAAAGTCCAAGCCCAAGCTGTTTCAAATTAATATTTCTGCATTGGCTTCTGAGCTCGCTCAGCCTCTCCTGGTTGTACTTGCTTCTCCTGGTTGCACGTTGCACTCTCGCAAATGTTGCCCGTCGCCTTTTGAGCCTTATACTTACGGTAGGTACAGCGCCTGTGCACAGTGAACTATATAGGTCGTTTGGATGGCAACGCCTGTGGAAGACGACACACTGACAGAGATGCTTGAGGGTGAGAATACTGCGAGTCAGCCTGATCCACCAGAGCAACCGGCCGCGAAGAAGAGTCCGGTGTTGAAGCGACCTGCAGCTGCAGTGAAGTCGAAAGCTCGCAAGCAGGGCAGGGATGCCGCTGATGGCACTGATGCCAGAGATGATGCCAGCGTGGAGCTCACTAGAAGCCAGCGGCGAAGGCCAAGCCCAAGGCCAAGGGAAAGTCCACAGAGAAGAAAAAGAAGGCTGATCCAGCGCAGCCGAAGCCCAAGCCAAAAAGGAAGAAGGAACTCCTCCAGGACTTGTTTGACTTGGGCGACCAGGTGGTGCGAGCTCGCGAAGAAGATGCAGGCGACGCAGAGGCTGAGGATGGCTTGGAGTCTGGCCGTGACCGGTCGAAGGCGCAGAAGTTCAAGAAGATGCTGGCCGAGGAGAGCTTGCCTGCTGCGGTGCTGGCGGAGTATCAGTCCTGTGGCTCCCGTGATGACAAGACCAAGCTGATCAACACTCTCTTTGTGAAAGAAGGTGGGGCGCTGAAGCTTCGGCCGGAGAAGTTGACCTTCAGCACGCAAAAGCGGCTGGAGACCACAGACTCGAAGGCGGAGAAGGAGAAGGGCATCGGCAAGAACTTGTTCATGTCCAAGTGGCAGATCAAGGATGGTGAAGCTTCAGGAGGGCGGCAAAGAGTACTACGCTGCGGCTCAGATTGAGCGTGAAAGAAAGATTTCTAAGCAGAGCAACGAACAGATTGAGGGGCAGGCCGTCGAGTTCGATGAGGACCAGTCCAAGGAGGTGAAGAAGCTCTGGTCAAAAATGACGCCGGAGTTTGCGGAGGGTAGACACCAGCCGGATCCCGGAGTTGGTTCGGATATGGTCCCGCCGTCAGTGCTCTCTGGCCAAAATAGTGCTCTCTGGACAAACTTCATCCCCATTTGGCCTGGTGCTGGCAAGGTGAGGACCTCATGGGCCGCATTTTCCACCTTGATTAGCAGCTGTGTGAGCGGCCGGACGGACGTATCTGCCACCTTGAAGGGCAGAAAAGTACGGGCTGGCTTGCCACTATATGTGGTCTGCTGCTGACGGGCCGCGTCGCCTTGAAGGCCGCTAAAAGGTACAGGATGGCCAGTCTGCCCTTTTTTGTAAAACCTGCTGCAGCTGCAAAATTGAAGGCTTTCTGCTCGTGTTGCATTTGTCCTCTGCGCCTTCACAGTTTTGGGCTGCCAGTTGCACCTGCCCACACTCACAGTTGCATACCGTGGAAAGCCTTGTATGTTGCCGCTTGTGCACGTCGCAGCACTTCTGCTGCGGAGTCGCTATATAAGCTCCCCCACCGCATGTACACTGTGTGAGCTATACTTTTCCATTTTTGTACTGCGCGGAGCTGTACACAGAATTGTATGCGTTGCGCAGTGGCACAGCCACCGCCGCTTGTACGACCGGCCACTCATGTATATAAAAAGATATGCGCCGGATGCTTGTACTGTGCGGAGCCGGCGTTTATAGGGTTGCATCACGTGCCAGTTTTGAACTGTGGGCGGCCCACGTGTGAGACACCTGTTTGCTTCCCACTTGCATTGCGCGCAGATCATATAGCAAATGTGGACTTGTATTGTGGGCATGCCCAGCATTTCCAACGCTTGTGCTTCCGGCCGCCCGTGGGTTTTGCGAAGCTTCCCTCTTGTACTTACCGCCCAAGCCAACACAATTTGCACCACAATATACCCTTGCCTGTGGTTTTTGCACAGCTCCATCTTGGGCCGCGGCGCAATTGTCCTTTGAGTAGGGTGCTGAGTTGCTGTTGGTGGACAAACACTAGGGCTCACGTTCATACCATTTTTGCGCGCGCTTGTGCGGATTCCCTTGCAGTAACGAAGAGTTGGCAGTGTTGGTTCCAAGCAAAAATCTATGGACAATTGACATAAAATTGAGACTAAATTGAAGCTAATTTGAGGCTAAATAATGTTTCAACATAAATTTAGCCTCGCCTTATTTAGACTCATTTTGAGTCTAAATTCTTGTAGGAGTCTAAATCGCATCCGAGGCTATTTTTAGACTCAAAGGATCTTTCAGGTACTACTACTACTACTACTACTACTACTACTACTACTACTACTACTACTACTACTATCACTACGACTACTACGACCACGACCACGACCGCGACTACTGGTACCAGTACTAGCACCAGTACCACTAGTACCATTCGTACTACTTGTACTACTTGTACTGTCTACTACTACTACTACTACTACTACTACTACTACTACTACTACTACTACTACTACTACTACTACTACTACTACTACTACTACTGCTACTAACTGGATATTCCTACTGCTGCTGCTGCTGCTACTACTACTACTACTAACTAGATATTACTACAACTACTACTACTACTACTACTGCTGCTGCTGCTGCTGCTACTACTACTACTACTATTACTACTACTACTACTACTACTACTACTACTACTACTACTACTACTACTACTACTACTACTACTACTACTACTACTACTCTAGTATCACTACGACTACTACGACCACGACCACGACCGCGACTACTAGTACCAGTACTAGCACCAGTACCACTAGTACCACTAGTACCATTCGTACTACTTGTGCTGCTCCTACTACTCCTACTACTCCTCTTTGAGACCAATATGACCAGAGCCCGGCTTCCAGGTCTCCCGCAGCAGCTGCAGCTCGCTCACTCGCTCCACTTGGTTCTTTTTGCGTTTTCCGCAATACCCCAAGGCTTGAAATGTCCCCAAACAGGTGGACCAACGACAATACACAGTAAAAGTTAAAGTGCCCCCCCCCCCCAATCCTTTTGCCAGGGGCAATCGCACTCGCGCTGAGGAACGGCTACTCAGAGACGCGCCTGCATTTGGGAGGGGGGGGAAGGAAGGAAGGCATCCCGGGCATGAAGGTTCTAAGACCCGCTGCGGTTCTTGTTCTGTTTCTTTCGTAACTACCAAACCAAAGGCGCCCCCTTTTTCCCGAGGTGCCACCACAGGTCTGCAGATGTTGAGAGGTACCAGTGAGCGATTGGGGGACTTTGGGCGTTCTGGACGATGGCGATTCCCCACTGACTAACAAAGGCAAGCTCATTTGCCGGGGGTCGAAGACTTCAACACCACCCCAGTTATATACCGGATTTGGAAAAGGAGCATTTCTTTGTTACAGCCCAGTTTTCATTGGAGGGCCCTTCAAGCGTTTTCACATCTCCCTCTCTGGACAGTTCGAACGTTTCTGGCTCATGTTGAAACGAATTCTATTGGTATGTCCTGAGATGAGTATCCCCGACCTAATATTGTTGGGGCATGATCAACGGATCGACTGGAATATTGTTTTCTTGGGTATCAGTCGCCGGGACAAGCATGCCAACTTGCCCGAGGCACAGCTTTGGCCGATAGTGCTCCTGAGCGGCAAGTGCCACAATGAGAACCCCAGAGAATAACCCCGTTGATCAGTTGATAGTTTGGGGTGTCGCATTCCAACTTGATGGTCTGAGGACATCGGGCCCGGCCCCAGCGAAATCTCCACTGAGGGAATTCCCAGTTGTCCTATCTCCTTCGGGAAAAAACATTGATATGTTGCAGGTATGACTCGCTGCCCACATTTGTGGTTAACTGTCCCTACCTTCACTAGCATCATGGATACCCTCCCTCCCACAAACATGGCACCTGACAGAGGGTCAGTTGAAAGAGGAAATTGATCTTCCAGCTCCCTCCCCACAGGGGCCATGTTAGTTGGAGCAAGGGTAGCCACAGTGATGAGACCAAGGAAGCTCCAAAACTGATTGTGTTTTTTCTCAGGCCGTCCCTTGGATGATTCTCTGCTCGCTTAGAGATCAGGAGCTCTACACCTTTCCAAAGGATGCCGAGCAAGAGGAGATGGAGGAGGATTAGGTCGCACCATAGCTCAAGCTCAGCGAAACAAATGGCTACAATTCCATTTGCTGTCTGTTGATTTCTAGCAGAACAAACGGCTACAACTCCATATTTGCCGTTTGTTGATTTCTATCATGATCATTCTCATGTCCAAATCGGTCGATTTGTGGTTGGTGGTGCTCGCAGTGGCGCGAAAAGAGCGCCCAGCGCGCTTGCGTCCTTGCGCGAGCCGGAAAATGCCGCGGGTCAGCGCTCCAGCGTGAAGAGGTGTTGCAGATGGGATTTTGCAATCCTCGGCTTCTGTGTTTTCCTCTCGGCCATGGAAGGGTTGCTGTCCATTCTCTTCACCCGTTTTCAGGCCCAGAGAAGCATCCCTGAATTGGAAGTGAGTCTTGAGGCTGCACTTTTGGGTATGTCAAGGGGACGGCCCTCCGGTTCCTTTGCTTTTGTTAATTTTATGGGGTTTAGTGGTAGTTTCTCTTCAACCCACGAAGTGTCCTTCGACTTTTTGCAAAAAGCGGATTTGAGGACAGCCCACAGGAATCGGACCTCCACGGATTTCTTCAATGTCCTTAAGCCATATACCAACTGGGGCGGGGGGGTACATCAGGCTTGGTCGCGAACGGGCGCGAACGGGCGCGAGCTAGCCCCTGGAAGTATGTTCGCACAACTGCTACTTCAACAAGCTTATTCAGGCTGTGCAACCGTAATGAGGCTCTGTCAGTGTGCACAGGCTGCATCGAAGGCTCAACCTGTAACCTCAAAATCACGCCCGTCAAGCAACGCCCCATGGAAATCTCCGAACAACACGGCACGTGGTGCTTGCGCCTTTTACAAAGGCTAGTTGAAGGTCCGGAAAAATCTGGCTTGCGGGTGTATATGTCAACCTTTTGAGCGTAATCTGGACATGCGCCCGCCTTGAAATGTGCTATCTTTTGGTCATCCCCAATAGGCGGAGGAAGCGGATCCTTTGTGCCTAAGGAGCAAGCTGTTGGCTGCATTTGCCAGAAGTCCAAACTGTATCAAACCTTCCATGTGTGGTCCTGCCAACGGAAGATTACCATGTAATCCGCACAAGTATGCAAATGCAATTTCAAAATGTGTATGTGTATGGCAACCTTTATATATTATATATATATACACATATGTACACGTATATGTGTAGATGTCATGACCTATATTTTGCAGTATCCACGTATATACATATATACACATATGTATATATATATATGTATATATATATTGTCATTACACATATTTACATGCATATGCGCATATCAATGTGTCCCTGGATGCATCTTTATTTGTGTGCGTGTGTGTGTGTGTGTGTGTGTGTGTGTGTGTGTGTGTGTGTGTGTGTGTGTGTGTGTGTGTGTGTGTGTGTGTGTGTGTGTGTGTGTGTGTGTGTGTGTGTGTGTGTGTGTGTGTGTGTGTGTGTGTGTGTGTGTGTGTGTGTGTGTGTGTGTGTGTGTGTGTGTGTGTGTGTGTGTGTGTGTGTGTGTGTGTGTGTGTGTGTGTGTGTGTGTGTGTGTGGATGCACATGTTTTAGCTGTCATACGCTAATGACGGCGACGATGGTTTTCCCATCAGAGGGCTACCCGACCGCAGGACACTGCGGTGGATCTATGGGCTCTCGGCACGTGCCCTTCCTGCAGTTCGGCTTTGGCTGTTTCAATCCAACGGCGAACTGAGCCGCCAGCAAAACCCGGGTAGGTTAAGGAGAGCAAGGGACAATCCCAACCATAAAAGGGAGTGACCGCCCTGAACATGTCCCTACAGGTTTGAGTCAAAGTGTTGCTTGTTGTTAAAAGTATGCTCGCTCCTGCCGGATTTTCAGTCCCCAAGTTGAGAACATCAAAGCAGAGAAATCGGCGGCCGGATGTTTGTGTCCTTGTTAATGTAAAATTCGGATGGCGCAGACTGTTTTTCGGGATGAATGAGTCTGGGTGAATTATAACGACCTCACACGACCTCGCCCCAAATGGTGGTTCATGCGGGAAAAGCCCCCCAACTACCTTAATTCAGGTTGGTGAAATACTATAATAATTCACCCAGATTAGTAGGAGCGAGTTGCCCCCAGTGAAATGGACGTTGTTTAATTCGGGGTCAAAAAACACCGCTACCCCTCGTTGGAATATTTTTGAGAACCGCACACTGGATTTTTCCGAGGTCGTTCCCATGATCCCAAAAATGCGGTGCTTTGACACCCCTACAACAACAGGGTGACTGTCCAAACAACATGAATAGATAAACCAAGCCCCCCCCCCCCCCCCAAGAAAAATGAAGAGCAATAAACAACAGCATCTATATTACTATATATATATATATATATATATGCTCCCTTTGCAGTATATGTACATACATATATATATATATATATATACATACATATATATATATATATATATATATATCCAAGAATGGTAGAGGACGCCCTCGGAAATGGAACACCCCAATTGCGAGAAACACCCAGGCTGGTCTACGAGCTGCTGGTGGGGCACATACCCTTCTGGGGCACCACGGAGGAGTCGCTTTGGCGGCCTGTGCCCAGTTGAAACCCGTATCAAAATGGGGGATCGAAACTATTTGGTCATTTTGTGTCCTGCCGTTCCTTTTGGTTGAGCCGGAAAAGCGGACAGGCTTCGGAAGCTCACTGTGGCCTCAGAGTTCTTTGGGATGTGCAAAAGGCTTTGAGGTGATGGTGAGGTGACACGGAAGGGGTCAGCACTTTTCGGCTCCAAAGCGCAGGCCGCAAGTTGAAACGACTGTCCAGCGGCCACCCGGCCATTTCATCACCCCATTTGATACTCCAACCCCAACTTCTTTCGTCCAGTCCGTGTATTTCCTTTGAGCGTTTGGGTTCTGAATTTGGTCAAAGGAAATCACCAAAAGCGACTCAAGTGGACTGGGACTTCTTGCAGGGTCGCCTTTTGGGACTTTGATGGGCAGAGATGATCGATTTTCTAGGCAGGAGCCCAAGACCTCAACAATGAGGGCCCCAAAGACCCTCACAGGCCTCAAATGTGGTCTTGCGCCCCTGGGGACGGTTGATTCCCGGCCCCATTCTTCTAGAAGGATCCCTGGCAAGAATGGGGCAGGCACCACATTTTTTGTGAGAGTCTTCAGGGTGTTTTTTCTGGCCAGTCTTTGCAGCAGTGTCGCGCTGCGCTTCTTTTCTGTGTGAAAAGCGTTTGGAGCGGTCCATTTCCAGTTATTGGAAGCCCTGAGTTTGCTCATCAAGGGTATGACGATTTTTAGGGGACCCCCGAAAAAATGGTGATTTTGCTTTTTGTCTTCCTTTCAAACCATCAGAAAAGGGGTACCCTCAAAAGTTTGCACTCCCATTTCGGAGCCAACACGAACAGACGAGGCGACAGACCGTGCCTTCACCGAGAATTGGGTCTTTGAACACCCCCCGTGTTTTTTGGTCAGAAGAGTGCCTGTTGGAGTTTGGATTATATTCTGGGGGCTTTCTTACCGACAAAGGTGCTGTGTTCAGAAAAGACTCCGAACATGACATTCAGAATAATTGGGTATGTGTCAAACTATAACTAGGGAACTGTCTAAGTCATTGTTTTTTCTTGGTTTCCCTTCAAAGCACACGGCCAAACGAGAACTTCCCGAAGCCCACCCCAAAGGGTTGCCCTGGATCAGGAGATCCGGCGGAAGGTGCTGGCAGTGGATCTGCGGTATCCTCCGAACCTGCTGTCCAAAGAGGCGCGAGTGTCTGAAGGGCTCTCACTTCGGATCTTCCGGATCACACAAGCAACCATGGAAGCAATTGTTTGTTGGTATTTCAAGGGGAATCATCATTGCGGGGTGTCTTGGTGGTGCAGGATTTCGTCCATCCACAGTAGCGTTTGGTTGGTAAGCCACGGTTGGATTTCACCCCTGAAGTTGGCAAGGTGGTCGTCAGGCAAGTTGGGAAGGTTGTAAGGGGATTGACCCCTGTTGGCCCGATAACCATGGTAATCTACTCAGCGGAAGCAAACCATCACCAGAAAGCACATCGGCACCAGGCCTCGCAAGGATTTCCGTTCGCGACCCGGCGTGGACCGGACGCCCTTTAGGTTGCAACTGCCAGTGCCAGTTGCACGCACTTTTGAGCAATCAGTGCACCTTCTTCGCCTTTCAGGCCACGGAAACCCCTCATTTGTATTGTAGCCTTACGGCTTGCGGTTTGGGAACCAGCGCAAGGTGTCACTCCATAGAATCCATAGGGTCCCAATCAGTGGCAAAGAAATTAGTATACTCAACAAGAAGGTGGGAATTCCGAACCACTTGAATCGAAGCAACTGGTAACTTCACTGTTCTTGGCTCTCTTTTTGTTTGTTTGTTTTTAGTTTTTTGGTTCTGTTCATTTTTACTGGGGGTCCGCAAAAAACAAAGTTTTTAGCTACCACACCAAGAGTAGAGATGGTAAGCTACGCTTTTCTCTTGGGCTGCGTGGAGCAAAGAGTTGCTCCAGATCTGTCGCGCTTTCGCGTTGAGCCATGCCACCAGATCGGTCCAGATCTTCCGAAGCTATGGGTGCAATACGCTAGGTCCCCCAGTAGTGCCCTTTCTCACCCCTTTTTTGGGGGAGGGTTCCCCTACTAAAATAGACTACAGAAAAAAGGGTACCCTGTTTCTAACCTCTCTACTGGAGGACCTAGAGCGCAACCGCCCAGGGAATCACCAAGTTGCCAAGGAAGGCTGCAAACAGCTGACCAGCAAATCGCCAGAAGAAGCCAAACCGCCGGGAAGCGAGGACAGCACGAAGCCAAGCCGCAAGTCACAGACCAAGCAGTCGCTGCTCCAAACCGAGAAAGCTTTTGGCTCGCAACAACCAGACACTCAGTGCTGCCAATTCTCTCTTTGTTTGGGGAACAACCGGAAAAAAAAGAAGAAGAAAAAAGGCAAGGACCAGAATTCGGGCCCTTTTTCCGGCAAACCGGGAATCGGATTCCAGGCTTGCGGTTGTCCTTTTTCATTTTGGACCCCCCGGAAAAAATGTGCTGGAAACCCCAGCCCGCACAAATGGGATTCACCGTCACTGCTGTGTGGGTCACAAGCCATTGCTGCTTTGTTTTTTTGAATTTCGATACCCCAACCGCCAA